CTCCTGGCATATTTTGGGGCATTTACCATGCTGGTGGGTGTCCCTGCTCCCAGAATTATATTTAAACCAAAATGAACTCTTCTCTTGATGTCTTTCTTTCTCTCCCTCCCTCTCTTCCTTCCGACTTCAAGTTATGGATAGTTTCTCTATGGCGTGGACATAGAGGGGCAGGGCAGCCACTTTCCCAGATAGTACAGGACTCACTTGCTGTGGAAATTAGAGTGAAAATGAGAACACACTGAACACAGCACACAGACTCTAAGCTTTTACCTCTAAGTAAGTTACCTAAACGTAGTCCTGAACTTTCTGTATTGGTTCTAGTTCCAATTATATGATTTCCCACTTTCTTCACTCTTCTCTGACAGCCGTTTAGATGACTTTTCTAATGTATGTCTATTGGTGATTTGATTGACTGTCGGTTGATCATTCAATTAGTACATACCTGGTGTGCTATTATCTTGTCTTTCCCTTGTATTCTGTCTAAGGAGATAGTGCTGCCCACACTAACAGTACAGCTTCCCCACCCAAATCAACCCTCTCTGGAAAGACCCTCACAGACACAGCCAGAGATGCACCCCAGTTTCCCATGTGATTCTAAATCCAGCCAAGTTGGTAGTAAACATCACCATCACCTCCATGATTGGCTTACTCCCTTTTCTTTGAGAGATGCCTATCGCCCATATTAGGAAAGTGAAGGACTCCATCTGGGCTGTTCAGTGGCTGAGCTTACACCTGTCTTTGATTCTTTCTTATTTCAAAGCTGGTAATTTCAGCCACTGTCTTTCCATCTGAATTCTCAAGACATCCCCATGAACACAATACTGTTCACCCAGAACAGAATGTTTTTCCCTCACTCACATTATCTCATCAGTGTGTCTCAGAGACAGTCCCGTCTGTTTTGGTAGACTCGGATGTTGCCAAGGTTTCTTGTTTTTCAGAATCTCTGAACTCTGTGTATTCCTCTGCCCACTAAATGAGTAGCGTTGGGGGTGTTCTGGAATTAACAAAGGCCACCTGTCCAGACTTGCTTTTCTTATATTCTCCTAAGTCCCTTCGAGAAAGCAATACTTGTTCTCAGAAGGGGAGTCAGAGAAAAAAATATATATAACTTTCCTTTAAAAAAGTATTTTAGTTAGACTCCAGGGTTAGCTAT